ATCCAAGCATCACCCTTTACTATGATACTGTCGTCCATGGAAACGTTACTTGCATTAATTACTTTCCCGATGCTGTGATAAAATGCCATGACCAAAATCAACTCACAGGAAGAGTCTGCTTTTGGTTTACGGTTGCAGAAGGAGAGTCCATGATGGTAGGGAAGGCATAGCAGCAGACAGCTGGAGCAGCTGGCTGATCACATTTCTGTCAGCATGCAGGAATCAAGAGAATGAATCAAGTGAGATGAAGCTACAGAATCTCAAAGCCCACATCCAGTGATGAACTTCCCTCAGCAAGGGTCCCTTTTAGAGTTCCAGAACCTCCTTAAGCAGCGCCACCAACCAAGGCCACGTGTTTGGGTACATGAGCCTATGGGGAACACTTTCATTCAAAAAACTACGTCCCTGTACAACATAGTGGAGTGTTGTGAGGGTATTGACCTGACTAGTCTAATTACAAAAGGTCCAAAGCCAATACATAGATGAGGAGTTTATTCTTGGGGTGATGACTCGGTTCACACTAGTCCTGAAAAAAGGTCACAAAGGAAGCTGCTTGCACTGTGCCACACCAGGATCTGAAACCAGTCAATGTCTTCCTGGATGACAAGCAAAACATCAAGCTTGGGGTCTACTCTGAGTTAGCCAGAATATTCGACCAAGATATGAATTTTGAACACCTGTTAGCAGAAGGCCTTTATTGCGTCTTCTGAACCAATGAGCTTATGGTGTTATGTTATTGTGAGAATTCAGCTATCTGGTCCCAGGGTAGTTCAATGTATCCGTTATGTGCATTAATGCCTCCAATTACACCTTTTAACCAGAAAGAACGTAAAGAGAAAATCTGGAGTCAGATCCAGGTGAACCCCAGGCTGTGGCTCTGACCAGGTGACTGACATTACTACGGTGATATTAAACAGAAAGGGTTGCCATGAACCATCTGCTGAAAAAAAGAAGCTCTTGAGAACTGTTTGACAGCTCGGTTGGCAGCAGAAGAACAAGAGGAAATCTCGAGGGCGTGGCTCTTAAGACCCCCTGTTGTGTTGCAGGCTTCCATCCCGGGCTGAGGGACCTAAAACTGGAGGAAAAGCAGTTGTAGAAGCAAGAACCAGCCAGCAAAGCCAAAGGAAGAAACACGAACAGCACATTCAAGAGCGACCAGACATGTTTCTTAATGTTTAGTTATGTATATGGGATGTACGCATTTGTATACATAAGGGCAGGGGCCTGCAGAGGCCAGAAAACAATGTCTGTCTGCCTGGAGCCAGGGTTACTCGAGGATGTAAGCCACCAACATGATGGGTGCTGGGAACTGTACCCAGGTCCCTTGCCAGAGGAGCATGCACCCTTAGTTGCTAAGCCATCTCTCCTGCTCCAGTCCACAGATCCTTGACCCTTCCTCCTCAATAGTTCATTTTGCTGTAAAAGTAGAGAATATGATGAGGAATGAAAATGTAGACAGTCCGCTCACTTCTAATCTAAGTACAAGGACCAAAGAACCACTCAGGCAGTCAGATATTAGAGGAAAACACAGCAGAGAGAGACAGAGATGCAGAGACAAGGACAGAAAGGTGGTATATTAGTCCAGATTTGCGGGAGGAACCAAACCAATTGATGAGATGATGCATATGAAGAGGAGTTCTCAGACTGCCTTACATGGCCTGGGCCGAGTAGTTCTAACAATGGCCCTCTCCACGCCGGAGAGGCTGAGGCCCTGCTCACTCCATGACTGGATGCCTCCGCAGTCCCAATCTGGCATGCAAGAACTAGAGGACACTCAAAGTGCTGTGGGTCCTCAGTCACCTCAGAAGGCTAAAGAGGCTGTGTTACGATGGCAGTGGTGGGCGGCAGAAGTAACAACATCAGAACGGGCCACAGGAAGGTAGAGACCGCAGACAAGCCAAACACAGCCCAGCTTTTTGTCCAGGATCTATGCGTGTCTGGTGATTGGCTGATGAGCCTCCCACCCTGAGAGAGTGGCTCAGTGGTTTTGAGTGCTTGCTCTCAGTCCTAACAGGCTGGAGTTCAGGTCCCAGCACCCACACCAGGCAGCTCCCAAACCTCTGTAACTTCAGCTCCTAGAGCTCTGGTGCTGTTATGCCAGGTTCACGGGACCCTCAGAGACCACCAGGAGACAACTCAATGCAATTGCAAGAGAGCTTTATTACGAGAGTGACTGAACTCAGGACCCAAGTCGCACTGATGCAGCAGTAGAGAAGTAGGACCCCGAACTCTGAGTGAACAGGATTTTTAAAGGGGGTTTCCATGACAGCAAGCAGGGGGGCACAAGCCTTGGCGTTACAGAATTGGGTGAAGTTTAGCAGGGCGGGGTGACCTTTTCTGAGGCACACAATCACAATAGCTAAGGCATATAATCACAATGGCTATTTTTCTAAACCACATCTCAAACATTGGGGAGAATTTTCCCACCCGATTCTCAATCGATTCCCATTGATTATTGCCAGGGAGTTTGTCTCTATTTTCTATGAAGCATTTATTCTGTTATATTTCCTGGAGGCTGTTGCTAGGAGA